GTGAGCGTGACGTAATGTCCCCGACTACTCCTCTACATATGTAATGGGTTAAACTGAGTCGCAGATGTAGACTTGGAGGCACATTTATTCAGTTCCAACACACGGGGTAACCTTCCCCTTAACAGAATAACAACCTATGGTGGTGACCACCAGGCTAACTACACTAGTTACAACGTAACTGCTATTATGGACTGGGACCAACAGCTTCGGCCCAGGTCCACGTGTTGGAGACGAAGGTTTCTTCCAAGATGAACAACAACCCCGGTCCCTCTCGGGACCCGGCTTATATTCTCTGTGGCGTGGCCGGCTCCGCCCTTGGCCACGTCCACCTTCCAGAATCCTCGGGAAGGATCTGGGTCCCAATCACGTGACCACCCCTAGCCCCCTATTGGGGCCTCTTTGTAGACTTAACTGGTCACGTGTCCTCCTGGGTCAACCAGAATGCTATGGCCTTGAGTAACCTCATTCTTCGGCCGGCACCCACACCCTGTCTTGTAGGGTTGGTACTGCACCCAAGCGTGGTGCCATCTAGCGCTATCATTCAGCGCTCACCAGGCCCCTCTAGGGCCGGTACTACACCCACACCACTGTGGTATCCGTGATGTCGCTACACCTCACGCCGTGCCCCTCTAGGGCCGGCACTGCACCCAGCATGTTGACATCCAGCGATGTCACTACACGTATATACCCCGCGCCTGTGGCCCCCACCTTCATTCATGAAGCCACAGCAACCGGCGGGGCGAAGTATGTTCAATTTGCCCCTGCGAGCCACACGGCATGGGGTGGCCTTTTGTCCAGCGGTGGATTGGATAAAGAGATTCGAATGGACATCCCGTGGGTCTTGTTACACGAAAGTCACAATCGGCACCACTGGAGTAAAGTAAAAGCAAAGCTGAAGAGAATGACGCTTGATTGATGTTTTCAGGTGTAAATTTTAGCAACCAAAGGCCTCATTACTTTAAGGGGCATGGAGAGCTACAGCAAAATGGAACTGCAGCTATTTCTGGAAGAGTGGCACCCGGAAGAGACCGAAGCACATCACTCGTGGAGTAACGACTCCAGCGTGTCTGGTGAGCAGCGTTTTAATCAGTGAATTCCTCAACAACCTCCACGCCGCATCTCCTTGTGAAAGCCACTGAGCTCTCCGCCGTGTCTTCCAAGGTTTAGATCCATGCGCCGTGAGCTTCTTCAGGAGTCGAATTGAACTGTTGGAATTGAATCTCAATATGGTTCTTGAAAAGTTTACTCCGGCAGAGAATCATTTAATTCTCATTTAGAATCATTTTCATCAGATACACAACCCGTGTATCATCCGATGCAGAGCTGGATCAAACAAACCTTAACACAAACAATAAATATAAAAAACTATATATAACAGGCGACGTTTTGGGCAATAGCCCTTCACAGCGCAAAAAGAGCCATTACCCAAAAAGTTGCATAATAAATATTGTATCTATTTTAAGGCCACAGTGTTGCCATCTACATGGAACGTGCTGCATTAATGCCAATTATGCTCGTGCACCGCTGCCAACGCAGCAGTAGCAGCTTCAAAGAACCTTTTGTTGCATATGGGACGAGAGTCCTGTACCGAATGAGACAATTTGTTCCCCGTTAGGCTGACAAACAAAATCCGTTTCCATTTCGCTCGGCGTTTCCCTGACACCTCTGTTCGACGATAACGCCGCAGCTCCCGCGTTGCCTTCCATCGACGTGGCCATAGAGACCGGGAGTGCGGTCTCTATGGCACAGGATTTTGAAGTGCAGACGGGTGTCCTCCTTCCTGCTGGAAACTGTGGTACACCTGTGCTACGTGGCGGTACTGCTGGCCTTGACGTATGGCGCCAGCGGCATCACCCGGGAGGCCTTCCGTATGAAGGATTCCCTGGAAGTGTTTTCCAGGACGGACGTGGACAAGGTTAGGCTGCGCTTTTGTTATTTTTCACAACATAATATATACAACAAAAACCAATCTGGCCCCTCCTGGGCCGTGCTGAACTGGCTCAGCAGGCCGAAAAACCCTCATGCTTGGACCAAGTGGGTGTCAGACCAATCAGGTTGTTATTTTGCATATTTAATCATTATTTTAATGATTGAATAGTTTACCAAAACCAAATAATTACTGATTTCATGTAAAAACATTTCAAGGATAAAAATCCACTTTTAAGAGGTGGCCGGGTGGCTCCGAGGTCAGAGCACTGAGTTGGTGACAATGAGAACTGGGGTTCGAATTGGGTTTTAAGCTGCCCATATAGTGAGCCAAACAAATTAGTTGGTGATGCTGCTGCTGCAATGATGCACAAGCACAAATATCAAAACGTGTGTCAATAACACTATGGCCTTAAATTAAAAAGTAAACAATAGACATTCTGTGTATTGCCCCTTCTCTATAGCACACAGAGGCCAGAGAGGTCACCTCTCCCGTGAAGGGCCATTGTCCGAAACGTTGCCAAGTATAAACTCTTCAGTTTAACGGAGAGTTGACAAATGTTTTTCAAATGAAAACATGAGTTTTCACACTTTCTCAGGCCACTCTGCTGTGAGTGTTTTCCCAAAACAAATCAATATTTATGATGGGACTTGATGGATATGTCGTGAATTGATATAAGCCCAGTTACCAAAACATTAGTTTTGCACTCCATTTGTCGAAGTTCCAGCTCTGAGAATAAAAAAATAGTTATGCTGTCATATGATGAACATTACTTTCTGTATATTCTTTGGGTTTTTCGGTAAAGTCACGTAGATAGAATAAAAAAATTAAGTGAATAAAAAATAATAAAAATATCACGTTTCGATCGCAACACAAGCAATCGTCATCAGGATTGTGTTGCGATCAAAACGTCGTGATATTTGTATAATTTTTTATTCACTTTATTTTCATTTTGATTATTTTATTGTTCTATCTACATGACTTTACCGAAAGACCAAAAGAATATGAATTCCTGCAGTCACAAAAGCTTTAAGTCAACGATAATTCACTCCAACTCTCTGGCCTTCCCATCTCTCTTCTTTGCACAAGGCTTACTGCCCAAAACAGCACCTCATATAATGCTCCTGTTGAGGGCAGCGTTCTTAACGAATGTGTTGAGTTTTCATCATGGATCGAGCACCATTGACGATTACTCCCTTGGTTCGTTTCGCACTATCTGCAGCCCAGTCACCCGGGATGCAGCCCATATCACTAGGTCTAAGGCGCTAAGTAGTATTTTTCGAGCCTGGACAGTGACAGTATGTAATGGGTTCAACTGAGTCGCAGACGTAGACTTAGAAGCACATTTATTCAGGTCCAACACATGGGGTAACCTTCCCCTTAACAGAATAACAACCTATGGTGGTGACCATGTAGCAGGACAGGTGGGGAAAGCACTGCCCTCTAGTGCAGATAAGAGGTCACTTGAAGTTATTTTAGATGTAGCTCTGTGATATCTACTTCCATGAGCCATTCTCGAACACAGGGTATTCCACTACTCCGTCATGCCAATATGATGACGAGGATAAAATTGGGGACAGTAGTAAATTATCAAAAAATGTGATATTACCATACAAACGGCATTGCAGCATAACAATTGGACGTAATTTACTTGGGTTAGGCATCATCAGCCAGAGCCTATCCACTTCTGGAGGTCTCCCCACCCCTCATGGTCCAGTGCTGCCACCATCTATGACCCCTGCGCATAAACCAATCTTATCACTCCATCTCCACAGCAGTCAAACTCTTGGACGCGTTCTCTTCTGACCTCGGGTTCCCGTCTGTGCGGAGTTTTTATGTTCTGCCCGTTCTGCCTGGGTTTATTTATGGCTTCTCTGGTGTCTTCCGATAGCGAATTAAAAAAACAATACCATGTAACCAGTCTTGGCCAATCATCCCAATGCTAAACAAGTACTTACAAATCACACAAGTGAGATCACTCACAACAGCAACATTGCCCCCAACCTAGCAGGGCCCTCCGGTGAGGCTTTCCTGGGTAAATAAGCGTAACAAATAAATAAATAATCGTTGCCGTCACCGGTGTTTTCCATCGGCCGTCATCACGTCAAGCGATGCGTCCTGACCAATCACATTGTCGATATGACGTCTCTGATTTGTCTCGGAAGTTCTTACTAAAAACAACAGCTGTTACCACTAGGTTGGCGATGCTGCTGCTGCTGCCGCCGCCACCACCTTGTATTACTGGGCTGACTCTAAGTTGAGGCTTGGCTCCCTCTCATCACTCCACCATTCCATTCACTCCGAGCTCACAATGCACCGAGTTCGGCTGCTGCATCTGCACACCCGCCCAGTGTGCTGACTCTCCTCATTCCCATGGCGACGGTTCTTTTATTCGCTCCATCCGGTTCACTTCGCCTCGCACTCTCCTCTCCGAACCGTTCATCACATGGTGCAGTATTCTGGCTACCTGCCCGACAGCGAGGTTGATTAATATTGGGAATTTTTGCTTTTATGCATTATTTCTGCCTGCATCTCCGACGTGTTCCGATGTTGCCTGTTCCTCCATATGAATCACTTTGATGTTTCGGTTCTTTGCAGATGCACCAAGGATCCCCCTTGCAAGCTGCCAGGTGCTGTGTACGCACAGTCCTCCTCCCAACTCCCCCAGTCTACTCTACCCCCACTCCCTCCCCTATCTCTACCCCCCTCTCTCTCCCCCTATCTCTAACCCCTTCCTCCCCCCCAACTCTCGTCCCCCGCCCACTCACTTTGGAAACCCTTATAAAGCAGTTGCATTTGGAGGCTTGTGCTCTTTTCTCTCTGCCTGATGAAGACCGCTTGTGTTTCGATCGAAACGTCGTGGGGTTTTTTGCTTTCATTTAAAAAAATATTTTATTTTATTTTATTTCTACGTGACAATACCGAAAGAACAAAGACTATGGCTAAATAGGATTTTCCATGTAAAAAATAAACATTGAATTGAAAGCATTGAACGAAACTCTGTTCGCTGATCCATGCGCTTGTATTAAAGTCTCTACGTGAAATGCTAAGCTCGCATCAGTCTATGCTTCTCTTTGCATTTTTCAGCTTTTGTTCCATTTCCTTTATCAGTGGCAATGTTTCTAATCCATGCGACGCAGCTGGCAGTAGGCACCAATTGAAAACGATCTTCTACAGATACATCAGTGCGATGCTACCATTAGCTTTCCCAGGGAACTCCATCCTGCACCCATGAGTGTCACTCAAATCCATCTCCCGTTTTGCATGCATACGGCAAGAGCTCGGGTGCTCCCACGGTGGGCAGGGAGTCACACCTCACTCATGTTGAGAGGCTGCAACCTGTAGAAGTCCCCGGCGGATTGCCGCGATGCGACCGAAACCAGGGCTGCAGATCGTGACAAATACCCAACAATGATGACCACAAATTCCTCATCGGCCGTGAAAACGTCACCTCGCTTGTGGCCCCTCTGCAAGCAACGACATGTTGTCTTGGGAAAACAAGCGTGGTAATAACAGGGCTTAGGGTTTATGGATAGGGTCTTGGGTTATGCTAATGGGTCGAGGTTAGGCTTAGGCACAGTGGTACCTAAAACTGCATTTCTTGCCATCGATCGGTGCGGACAGCAGTCTCAACCAGGTTTAGCACGCACACACACACAGGTTTAGCGCACACATACACCGCGCGTATTACGCACAGCCACCAAAGGCGTAGCAGGGGCGGCCTCTACCCAGCACCACATGGGTAGCTGTACACAAGAGTGGGCCGTGACCGATTGTGAGGACAACTGTGAGCACACCCAGACATGCAACCTTACATGCTTCACACGACAAATGTTGGCAAACCAGAGAGGATCTCTAGCACCACATGAGGCCATGCATGTGGTCTATGAACTCCTGGGCTCGGCTGCTCGAGTCCTCCTGCTGCTCCTCGCGGTGCTTCTGGAGGATGGCTTTGGCGATGCGTGCACTGGCTGCCTGCCCGCCAGCGAGGTTCACGGCATGCGGACCCACCTACCGCCGGCACAGTATACGATGTTAACAGCATTCTCATCTGCTAAGTAACCATGAATATGATCTTCTTTGGTTCTTTCGGTAAAGTCACGTAGAATGAGAATAAAATAATAAATTGATAAAATAACACAATTCATAATAAAGGTTTTTGGGTTAGATCGTGTTTATTTATAAATGTGTCGTAACCCTCCACCACCCGACACGGCCAATCAGCAAAGAAAAGTGTCACGTTGACAAAAGACAAATAATTCACTACTTCAGCCCACCGGTGTGTTGAAGAGTTAATCCACATTTACAGTTTGAGTACGACGTTTCGCTGGTAAATACTTCCAGCATCATCGGGCAATTCTCTGGCGAATTCTCTGGCGAATTGCCCGATGATGCTGGAAGTATTTACCAGCGAAACGTCGTACTCAAACTGTAAATGTGGATTAACTCAACACACCGGTGGGCTGAAGTAGTGAATTATTTGTCTTTTGTCAACGTGACACTTTTCTTTGCTGATTGGCCGTGTCGGGTGGTGGAGGGTTACGACACATTTATAAATAAACGCGATCTAACCCAAAAACCTTTATTATGAATAATATTGGTCGCGAAAGCCTACGTGTTAAACAAAATAACACAATATTCTCACGACGTTTCGGCCACAACACATGCGGCCTTCATCAGGTGAAGGGGACGAGACTGTCTGGAGGACAGTGCTGGAGTGTGGCTTTCTCACTCCAGCACTGTCCTCCAGACAGTCTCGTCCCCTTCACCTGATGAAGGCCGCTTGTGTTGTGGCCGAAACGTCGTGAGAATATAATTGTGTTATTTTATTTTATCAATTTATTATTTTATTCTCATTCTACATGACTTTACCGAAAGAACCGAAGAAGATGAATCCTTGCAGTCACGGAAGCTTTAAACCATGAATATGATTTTACGGACCTTAATGGAGGTCCACACCTGAGCCATCCAGTTGCATAAATTGGTTACCTGCAACAAAATCACTTATGTGTGGACGTCTCCGCAATCGATTGCTCAAAGGAAGAGACAGACTCGACTCTCAAGCGTCGATCATCTCACCGATTTGTAGCAATGCAGTTCACGTGCTGTGCGCATGAACTCCTTGCTGTGCAACTACTCACTCAGTTGTGGACAAAGCAGTTGCAGGCCATACAGAGCAATCATCACCCCCTTCCTGACAGACTAATGCTCGATTGCAGACCAGGTGCTGAGGCACCTTGTGAAACGTAGGGACAGCTGCTGCCACTGGGGGTGCCCTTTCAATCGTGTTGAAGTGAGATGAAAAGTGCTATTGAGATGCCCTGGCATAAAGGAGGTCGCATTCTCATTATCGGTGGCCAAAAGGCTCAAGGGTGGCAGTAATAAGTCGGCACCACTGAGACCCTTTGGGTTTGAACGTGAGCTTTAGTTGCCCGTGATTGCAACAGTTTCTCAAGAGTAGCGAGTTGATGTTCTCAGTCCAGCAGATGCTTATTTTGGCAAAACTCCCAACTCTGGCGAATTAAAGATCGGTTTTGATCGTCACGCAACAAATATTTGTATTTAGCAAGGCATGCAAAACATTGTAGATAACAGCTCATGAGGGGAACGCAGATGTAGCTATGTGGTATCTAATTCCGCGGATCGTTCTGTAACAAAGAGGTGGCTGCACCGCTTTGCGCGAGTCCTGATTGGACACTCGAGGTGCGCCTATCCTGGCACAAGTGCCACGGTGACGTTGCCGTAACTTAGTGGCAAACAGCGGTTGTTGTATTGTCGCGTGCCAGGGTCTCACTTTGAGTGCCGCATACTGCCCCATGAGGTAGAGCTCGCAGCCCGTAGCCCAGCGCAGGTCGTCGTCGATGGCTGGCCAGCCCTCCACGAGCTACACACAGCCGAGTGCACCACCGCGATCATGAACACAATGGCACTGTAACAGAGCCGCAGCAGGAGTGGTGTATGCATAATGCTGATGATGGATTCTATACATTCAGAGGAGTGTACAGACAAGCAGATGCAGTGCTGGATCGGCAGCCGGTAGTAGCGAACACTTTGGAACAATGCGGATGTCCAAAATAAACACCTAATTCGAGACCCAAATATCGCACCTCCTCAGTTTGACATTCCTTCTCTAAGACCCTAGTGGAACCACCAACCACATCAGAACATCAACAGGTGGATGCACACATCTCCTTCATGAATATAAAATTTAAGACAAGCCACAGTAGTACGATTGTGGTATGCAACCCAAACTGTGGACCATATCGTAAACCACTGCAGTTTTGTGCTCATTCAATGGGGGAGGAAACAGCAAAGCTCTCGTGGTGGCCAGCAGACATCTGCATTTAGCTTCTAAACACACTGCTGCCATCGTGCGCACGAATACAATCGACTGCAGCATGGTCGGACTCCGGTCTGCAATCGAAGCCATCGGGAACCATTCACTACGAGGATGCTGCTAATTTCCAGGACGAGCAGGGTCGGTATCGGCCATTCACCGGCACAGGGAAGTGGCGGAGCACGTTAGCGAGGAGCGGATCTTGCGCGACATCGAGCTTGCATCCCGTCGCGAGCCAGATGCGGTCTCCACTCCAAGTCTCTTTGCCCGTGCTCAGCACCACTCGCCACCGCTGCTCCTTGTAGGACCATGACGCAGACTCCACCTGCCAGTAACACACGACCCTCCCGGCCGCCATCGTCAAACCTCACAGATGAAGTGAGGTTCAGTCTGGTAACTTACTCAGATAGGTGTAAGTTGTAGGCAAAGGTGCAGCCCTGAGACATTTGCTTATGCCCCTGCCAGTGGAAGGGCCTCTGCTAGAGAGAGCTCTAGATGGTATTTTTGGCCTACTTTTCATGAGTGGCATTCACATCGTCACATGTGGCATTCACACCGTAATGTATTTTCTTCGAGAACAGAACCCTTTTCATACAATGCGGAACACCCCTCGTTACAACGTGGTTTCTGAGCGCTTGACGACAAAATACTTTCTTGATCTGCGCGGCCGAGTGGTATGTTACAGTTTGCGGAATGATACAGTAACGTGGCGGTGTACCCTCAGTTGTCTTACTGTATGTGCATACATCGTATCTTGTCAAACTATCATTACATTACTTATGGGGTAATTGTTTTTGTTTGACACTTTTTTTGCTTAACGCAGAACTTTTCAGAAACACATCTATTCCCGTTAAACGAGGACTTACTTTACTTAGATGGATGAAGATTTCAGAATTAAACCTAGCATTCAATCTAGGCTGTTTTTCCTTCTGTAGTGTGTCAATTCAGAGACATTAAAAGTAGGAGGCATACACGTTAATTCTACACTTCCCACAGTATAGGGGATAACTATATACGGGTCAGGAAAACCGGCATACTGCCTGACCCAACACCGACGAGGAGGTGAAGACAGCGATGAAGACTTGTGAAGACGACGGGTTCCATTCCCAAACTGCAGCAGCCTCGAACCACAATTGGGGCCTCCCTTTTATCCTCCCCAGCGTGGCCTGGCTCCGCTCTCGGCCACGCCCCCCTCTGGAACCCACCAGAAGGCTCTGGCTCTGCACCACATTCCCTCTGTCACCTTCACCCTACATCTGTGCCTATCACATGACCTACTGGCAGACCGGCCACTGTATCCTTAAATGCCCTCACTGCCAGCAGCCAGCACGGCGCGCTCCAGTCGCACACTTCACCTGCCCCACTGGTAGACCGGGCTATTACATTTATTTTACCAGGTAAGGCCCAGTTGACGACATAGCTATTTTTCAGAAGTGACCTGGCCACAAATGATAGCTCAACGAAGTGGCTTATAATGTGTAGCAGCTAAATACTAAGTGCATGTTTTTCAATGTAGAAGTAAAAACCAGAGGATCCAGAGAAAAATACATGCGACCACAGGGAGAACATGCAAACTCCGAATATATAGATGTCAGGGTCGGGATCGAACCCACGACCTCCTTCATACCAAGGTAACACCTCGGCACCATGGCGCCACTTCACCTTTCTGGACAGTGGTGGTTAGTGAAGGAGTGCTTCAGCTATCACCCGCACACCGATGTTAGCAATGGCCGGGAAACAGACTTAGGTTGGCGCTGAGTTCACAGCTCAGTGCGCTAACCACTGTCACCACTTTACCTAAAACATGAGCAAAATATGTGTATTTTAAAAATTAAAAACACTAATATGGAGCTGGGCAGAAAATCAGATAATTGCCAAGCTAAATCAACAAAGGAATGGAGATCGAGACCGTGGAAGCCCGATGCTTAAGAACCCGGTTTCATCACGGGCGGCTGATTTCAAAAATCACACCAAAGACTCAATGGTGCCAGCTCGGCTCTCTGACATCTAAACCACCGGTCTCGATAAGGATCAATGTAACTCGACGGAATGATGGTTTGCTACAAGCCCAGTATAACAGCCACATGGATGCACTTGGCAGTGTCAACTGAAGCCAGGACTCTCTTGATGAAACCATCGATTGTGTTTTTCTTGTCATTTCCTCCCCAATGTTATCATGATTATGCCATAGGCTCTAGCGCAGCAGTGCAGCCCGCTGTGTTAGAGAACGGCACAGGGTAGTAATAATAATTTACATTTGTAACGGTGGCACGAGGAACCAGACAAGCAGGAAGGCAGTCAAGCTGTGAGCTGGCGTCAAGCTCTGCTGCTAAGACAGCAATATCCTCCACATACTAAGGTATTATCAGCCAAATAATGAGTGTTTACATGTGGGAAGAAATCAAAGCACCCGGAGAAAACCCACGTATTCCAGGGGAAAACACTCCATTCCATACATATGGATCAGGTGCAGTCCACATTTTGCTCTACGGCCTTCTCCTGGCGAGCCAGGCATTGACCCCTTGACGCCCATGGGAAGGGAGTTCTGCAACATTTGCGTGATGCACCAACCCTCGTCTTCAGTGCCGGACTGCAGGCCACGTGCTTAGCCACAGCCGCCCAGCTGGCGGATATCCCCGAGCTATCCCTGAGATCATTGCAAGTAGAGGCCGACTGAAACCGAATTCTGGTTTCGGCCGAAACTGAAAATAAACCTAAAGTAAAAAATTGACTTTCGGCCAAAACCGAAAGTAAACCGAAAGTAAAAAATTGACTTTCGGCCGAAACCAAAAGTATGCCGAAAGATGCCATTTGCCAATTTTCGGCGCCGAAACCGATTTTCGATCGGCCTCTACAGGGAACGATTAAAGGGGTGGATAGAAGAGAGAAAATGGATAAGGGGGACGTGGGGATACGAGCAGCGAGGGGATATGGGAAGGGAGGGGATGCTGAGAGCGAGCAGATAATGGGAGCGAGGGGCATTCGGTGAGCGAGGGGATAAGGGGAGCGAGGGGATAGGGGAAGACCCTACCTTCGGGGTGCAGGGTCTGGGTGCCATCACCTCATGCCGGGAGGGCGAGCGAGGGAGGGAGCGAGAGGAAGGGAGCGAGGCAGAGAGGCCCGAACTCTCCTCCTCCCCCTCCTCCTCCTCGCAGAGCTCCGTGAGTGCGCTCCCAGCCACGTCCCACAATCCCCCTCGCTCCACGCGGGTCGCGCTCTCAGCGAGCCATGTGACGCGCGAGGCAAGCGTTTCATCCACAACCTCTCCTCCTCCCCCTCCTCCTCCTCTCGCACCCCCGATTTCTCCTCCTCAGCCCTCCTCCCCACAAGTGACCTCTGGGCCAGTACTTTCCCATGTTGCACGACAGTGAAACCAATATTGCAATTTTCAGACCTGTAGTTCACCAAGTTGACCAGAGAGATACATTTAATGTGAAATGCCAATTCTACTTCACAAATCGATTAACAGTTACAATTCACGCGCAACTCCCACACCCACGCACCTGGCCATCAAAGCGTCGACCGTCACTGATTCATCGTTACGTACACATGTACGTACTTCTTTCACACCTTATGTAGCCAACTATGCTTATCAGAGGTTACAGCAAGGCCCACATGCCCGGGCACGCACCTGGCAGTAAGCGCGCAGTGAGACGATGCCCGCCTCAATGAGCGGGCGGATCTGCCCGTAGGCCTCGGGCGTGACCGCTCCACCCTTGCGTGCCTGACGGATCATGTCGAGGCGGCGGCGAGGGCCGCGCTCTGCATAGAACTGACGCAGGAAGGGCAGCCCATCGAGACGTACGCCGTGCTCACGGTGAGCATAGCGCCCCACCAACGTCTCCACATCGCCCACGTCGAACTGCTTCACCTGCAAATATGGGGACAGGGAAGACAAGAGGGTAAGAGGCGTGTCCGATTTGACCGACGGATGGGAGACGAGGCCGCGAGCCAAATCACACGAATGTAAAAACAGATCAATAAATGGATGCACATGTTTCTTAATACTGTACCGAGAGACAGAAAGTTTAACAGATGGGATTAGAGAAACTGTCCGGACCGTGCGGAAAAGCAGGCTTGCGCATGACATGCCACAAGAAGGGACAATGGCTGGTGACCACACAGTAGCAGCCAAAGAAGGGAACATATCAGGGAAGATTTTCAACTTTTGAGATGGAGCGATTCTACTCTATGATTGCGTATGTCAGCAATATGTTCAGGAACTAAATGCCAATGTTGAAGTCTCATAGCCACAAGAGGGCTTCAGGAGAGAGTGTAGTTTTACCGTTCCTACTCTGTTGAATGAGCGCAGACCAAAGTGGTTTACTACATGGTCTAAAGTTCATAGCCACAATCGCAAAGCAGCGATGAAATCTTACGCAGGTAGATGATCGTGACTGAGCCTAATTCTGAAGATGCTCTACGTGGGCTAAAATGCTGATATTTGGCAGAGATACAATAAAGGTGTAGTGTCGTTAATACAGCCACTACTGTTAGTACTGTCTATGCTCCGGAAGTGTTACTGAGCGAAGGAAGCTGGAGGGACACATCATGGTGAGCCAGGGACTCCTGATTGGCTGAAGTGTGGGCATGGCCAACCCGAGGGGGAGACTACGGCCAGGGTATAAAGGGGGGGGGGGGGGGGGCTCCGAAGGGGTTTGTGGCTCGTCTCGGGGATCGGTGCTGGGGTCCTGGGCTTTTCGTGCTCCGCTCTAGGGGCTTCGTCTCGGCATCGGGGATCAGCAGCGTGTGTGCTGGCTGACCCGTCCGTTGATGGCTAAACCACTCTCACATAGCGATAGAATAGCAACACATAACTATAGTACCCGAGGCAGTTAGTGTTACCCCGTTGGGATTTATTAATAAAAGTTTTGCCTCCAAGTTTAGTGTGCGTATGCCTCTTTACACACTACAAAGGAAAGAAAAGTATATGAAAGAAAAGTAGACTTAGGCGTGACACATTGCAAGAAGGACCGATGGTCAGAGACACAGCGTTGAGATCAGCTGGTTTGCAAGGAGCTAGAATGTTGCATGGCAGATCGTGCGAGATGGTGGCATCTCGCACGATCGGGGAGGTCTTCTTTCAGCAGTGGATAGATCATGGCCGAAGACGTCCTATGAGCGGAACCCCTGCATATGCAGAGGGTGCAGTGCACACCTGCAGGTGTTTGCGCATGACCCAAGTGACGCTGCTGGCACCCGCCTCCACGGCCAGCAGCACCATGTGGGCACTGCTGAGGCCCCCGCCCACCACTAGCACGTGCTCGTCCGGCTCGCTCACCACATTCGCCACTAGGGTGGGGGGGGAGGGGCCGCGTACAGCAGGGGTGCTCATCAGCAACAGTCTTCCACACGCAATACAAATATCCCCTGTTTAGCCTTCAACAGGCTGTCGGGAAAAATGCTGTTAGCGAGCACATTTTAACACACAAAGGGGTGGGTGTGTTGTATACGGCCCTTTTTCCATCTTTAATATCAATATATATTTTTTCTTTCGAAATAATGAATGAAAACGACAAGCATAAGCAAGCAGCATGTGGAGGTCATGGAAGGGCCGTTGAATTGAAATTAAAAATAATAGGCTCACAGGAAGGCTAGGACTCCGTGAACAGCACTCCGCCACCACAGCTGGACAAATAACACACCACACGTGCAAGCAGAGAGGAGGGGGCGTGGGGAGAGATGTATTGAAATTCCTTGCTAACGAAGGCATCAGCAGACCTGAGCAAACAAATTAAGTTGGGGAGATTACAAGACATGGTCACACGGAACATTGACACTAACACTATTCACCTTAAAATGACGATGCCCTTGCCCGTTACCCGACCCCACAGACACCAAGGAGTGTGAATCACGACCTTGTTGAACATAAAGCAAATAATATTTGAGTGACGGTAACCAAGGGCAACGGAGAGAAGGAGAGACGCCTTTGTCTTCCCGCAGCGCGAGAGAGCGGACAGAAGCCAAGCAATTATTACAGCCACCTGCGCTCACGGGAGGGAAGGCTGGGAATCCGTAGAAAACACTTCCCCACCGCAGCTAGACGGATAACACACCACACGTGCAAGCAGAGAGGAGGGGGCGAGGGGAGAGAGGCCTTGGAATGCGCGGCGTGTGTCAGCTGGACCCCAGGCGAGCAAGTTTTAAGTTAAAGAAATCACAATACATGGTTTCATACATAACATTAGTGTTAACGCTATTCACCGTGAATTATATTCCGCTTATATAACATTGCAGACACCAAGGAATATGAATTCCTAGGATCAAGAGGCCTACCTCCAAACCTAGGATATTGGAAATAAAATGATATAATGATAGCACGAGAAGACGAAGTTAGTAAAGGGACTGAGGAAGGGCCAGGATGACGGGGTGAGTCACAGCCTTGTCGAACATAAAACTACATGATACTTGAGCGATGTTAAACCGGGGGCCAGGGAAAAGGAGAGTCTCCCAGCCGCCTTTGTCTTCCTGCAGCACATGATGGGAGTATGCATGCGCTCAAGGGAGAATCTTACCTTGAAATAAAATCAAACACCACGATGGAAAACTAACACAACAGACCTCGAGTCACATACAGAATCATAACTGTAAGAATATGATGGAATAAACTGATGGAATAAACTGATGGAATAAAATGTTAACTTAAAAAAACCTTAACCATTCCTTTGTGCGTCGGGGAAGGTCACACAGGAGCAAATCTCGCCCTCCCTCCAGATTGTGCAACACAGACAGAGAGACACCCTTGAGACGATTTGTAACATCTGTTTTTTTATGGTTTATGGAAAGAGGCAACAGAACCATGCCATAAATGACGCACACAAGGACATACGGACGGACGCACATACGGATACACACTCCAGACCACGGCACAGCTAAATCAAAAAAAGTTCCGCCTTGTGGGGAGGAGCCAAGAGGAGGAATTTTGGCATAAAATAGGACACTACAGCATTGAAAACCCAGAGTGCGCGCCAGAGTGCGCCGGTGCGCTCCACTTCGCGCCAGCGTGCGCCACTTCGCGCAACTGTGCACCAGAGCGCGCCACTTCGCGCCAGAGCGCGCCACTTCGCACCACTGTGCGCCACTTCGCGCCATTGCGCGCCACAACTCATCAACCATCGAACCAGCTCAGCGGACCAGCTTAACTCAACTACTGTGAGAAGAAAATCAAGCAAGAAGTTTCTACAGCTCGCCAGAACGGCGAGATTCGCTGTTTAGCGACAGGCTACACGGTGCGAGTCGCACCATCAAAAGTAGCATCGCAACGAACGTATCGCCAGCGCCCGATAGCGCAACCGGTGGTCAACACTCAGCGACACACCCTTGCCAGCTACCAGCAGACGAGCGCCATCTACCGACTGGCCATCGTAACTACAACAACATGTCAACTGGTCAACCTACGTCAACCTACTTCAACCGAACCGAATCAACCACGGTGACATTAGAATCGACCGATACGTATGACGCGCACTGCCCCCCACCACACGACAAACCAGGTGTCTGTTTGACGCAAAGAATCAACTCCGAACACTGACTATTCAACACAATTCATATCCCTCAAACATACATGGGTTCTTAACCAAAAAGCCAATACTCAAGTCCGTAAACCATCAGTGGCCGTGAAGGCATCGCGGCAGACCAAGTGAACACTCCGTCGTTTATAAGACTATTAATAATTTTCCTCCTTAATATCTTGTTTTGGGCTGTACTTCTAATCGCATAAATTACCAACCGATCCATCAATACAAATTAATCCTTGATGCCTTCGCCACGGAGCCACGCTCACGTGGGGGAATAGTGTATCTGACCGGCTTCCTTATCAGGCGATCTGGTCCACAATTAATTAAACGTTGGCCCAAGATAAGGATATCAGGGGAGAGAGCGCACCCCACCGCACACCCTCACTCTAAGCCATTTCGGTAATCATATAATCTGTCCGATGGATCTGTTGATATATTTGTGCCTTTGGGAATAATAACTGTTTTGATTGCCTTTTCGTATGAATTTCGTCATATAATCTTTAAGTACCTTTCGTTACTGATCGCCGCACGTACTCGCGTACTCTACAGAATACTCAACTGTTCCGTGACCCAATGTGCTAACAACGTGATAAGGGTTGCTTATGGATCTATGAATGAACGCGGTACTGTGTATGCAAATTCCAGTATAATCTTTCATAATAGAGTATTAAGGTTTTTTTTTGTTTTGTTTAGATATTTTAACGACTCTCTCTCACCAACTGCTCACGTTACGTGGGTAATGAATCAATGTGCTGTTATCAAAGTGAAAAATCGCATCTTCTTTGGTTCTTTCGGTAAAGTCACGTAGAATGAGAATAAAATAATAAATTGATAAAATAAAATAACACAATAATATTCTCACGACGTTTCGGCCACAACACAAGCGGCCTTCATCAGGTGAAGGGGACGAGACAGTCTCTCATTCTACGTTACTTTACCGAAAGAACCAAAGAAGATGAATCCTTGCAGTCACGAAAGCTTTAAATCGAAGTGAAAAATCGCAGTCGTGATGATACTGTGTTGATACTGTGTTGGAATTCCGAGCCGAGAGTTGCATCTTTTAGAGTTAAAGTTTAGTTAGAAATAAAATTGGTTAACGCAGAAGTGTTGTGTGTTTCTTTCCTGAATTATGCATAAGAACTGATTCTGTGTTGAGATCTGAACTTGGTGACCTTATATAAACACACTAATCCATACTCAATAAATGTCAAAGCGAGAATAATGGTATTACACTGATCGATAATACGAAGTTACTCATTGTTTTTTTCGGTAAAGTCACGTATGTAGAAATACAATAAAATAATATAAAAAAAAACAATCACGACGTTTCGATCACAACGCAAGCGATCTTCATCAGGTGTCAAGAACAAATCACGGAGGTAAATACAACAAAAAGATGAGAGACGAGAATTCAACAAACCTGAAAAAACATTATGTGAAGCACATCCATCCAGTCAGGCCAACAACACAGTTAGACACTTCCTGGCGGACCACGAATTTCAGGAGTGTTAAATTTTGTGTTCAACCTTTGGATTGCACATACCAGCATAGATAGAATGAAAAATACGAGGTGCACGGTCGGTAGAAATACATATACAAGTCCACCAAGTGGTAAGGATGGAGGAAAGACGGACAAGGAGGCAGAGAGAGAGAGGGGGGGGTGCCGGAGGGATGAACAGAAGCTTAAATAGGAAATATGGTTGGAGGGGGGGAGGGGCCAGAGCGAGAGCGGCAGCTCAAACACGCACATCTTACGAAGTTAACAGCGAAGCCGAGTTTAATCTGACATGCTCACAGCAACTGCATAACGGCATACGAGAATAATTGTATTATTCCTCGTCAACGAGGCGGGGCCTGATTATCATAAAGGCTCTCATTAACATAACCATACCCACTCGCATAAATTAATTTGATTATCTCTTGAATTAGCATAATTTATACGAATAATTACAGAAATTAACATAATTTCGGATAAATTATGCAAAATACAAATTACATTTATTTTTTATTATTTTGATCAAATTTTCACAACCCACATATACAACAGGTGGACAACACTATGCCCAGCCACATTTGCCTCCCTGGTACTGATGTTTACACATCAGATTATGTAATCATGTTTAAAGCTGAGTCGACCTAGGGGAGGGCCAGGACCAGTTCATATATTCTACACTGTTATTGGACGTGAAAGGGAATCAAACTCGGGTTTCTGGGTTCATAACGCAATGCCACTACTCCCCACTACGCAATGCACTCGCACATGCAAATAATATTCATATAGCGGAGGCCCTTCCACCCTATGAATTTATTGCAATGGACTCGTCGCCCACGCTCTGCTCACCGGACCCGCCGGCGCGGCTGATGAACTCGGTGGTGTGGAGGAGCCGGTCCTCGGGAAATCGCTCCCCGATGGAGGACACCCAGTCTGGAACCACGGCCATGGCGGCACGTGTCGGGCCGGCCGCCAACACCACGTGGTGGGCGCGCACTGTCGAGCCGCCCTTCAGTGTCACTTGGAAGTAGTCGACGATGGGACCACCATCGCCACCACCGTCGCCACCACCGCCACCAGCAGCAGCCAGGACAGGCAAGATCGCATCCACGGTGCCTGCTGTCACAGCGCCCGCCAGGGAGTAGTGCTCGATCTGGGAGGCAAGAGTGCAGCCAGCATGTGTTACCAACTGGCGGCAAAGTATGGTTAAACAACCAGCATGGTTGAAATATGCTCAAACAAGAAAAAAACCGACGTGGTTGTGGTGTGGTAAATCAACCACTATGACGGGCATGGCTTGACCAAGGCATACAGTGAAGGAAAAAAGTATTTGATCCCCTGCTGATTTTGTACGTTTGCCCACTGACAAAGAAATGATCAGTCTATAATTTTAATGGTAGGTTTATTTGAACAGTGAGAGACAGAATAACAACAACAAAATTCAGAAAAACGCATGTCAAAAATGTTATAAATTGATTTGCATTTTAATGAGGGAAATAAGTATTTGACCCCCTCTCAATCAGAAAGATTTCTGGCTCCCAGGTGCCTTTTATACAGGTGTAGTGCCGTGAATTCACTCGGACGACAACCGTCTTTCTTCCACCGTCACTTTTATTCCATCGTTCCGTACACACAGTAATTCTCCTCTTCCCCAACTCGGACACTCCGATTCACTTCAGCATCGTCCGCGCATCCTCTTCCACACACAGTGGTTCTAACTCTATCTCCTCACACACAGTGTCGCCGCTATCTCTTCACACGCAGTGACTTCCTCTATCTCCGCACACACAGTGACCTGTCTGTCTATTCACACACAGTGACTCTATCTATCTATTCACACACAGTGACTATCTATCTCCGCACACACAGTGACTTGCCTGTCTATTCACACACAGTGACTCTAATCTCCGCTAATGCTAACTCTCCCTATCGCTATTTACTGTCTTTTGGGACCGGCTCTCTATCTATTCTTCCTTAACATTGCCAGCTGTCCTCTTCGTATCTCTCCACCTCTCGCCAACAACTGCCCAGCAACAACTCCCCTCTCCGTTCAAATCACCTAGCGTTTTATCCCCTTTCCAATTAGCCTCAATTAATTGCCACGTGGCTCGCTGGCATTTTCCCGCCAGCTCGCACCTGTCCCCTCGGTCAGACTTCGAGATGCCGCCACTTAAAGCTCTCGATCAATCACAGCCCTCGTGCCACGACTCCCTTAATTACTTCGGGTTGTTTACGCCACCCGTGACTCGACCACCTGTTCGACCTCATGTGACCCACTCTCCTTGTATGTCTGTATGTACTGTATGTGGACAATTCCTATGTGTATCGTTTACTCCACTACATCCCCCCCCCCCCCCCCCCGTGATGAAAGAACCTAGCCGTCCCCGGCTACGATATACTCGAATTGGAGTAGTGGAGTGAAGCGGACGGAACGATGAAAACATATATACATAACGCATTTGCAATACACAACCATTTTGTACAACCACACAACGACACGCACACAACACCTTTATACAGAATTCCCAACCCCCAAAGTCAACGTATTGTATTCCTCCTGGAATGGGTTCCTGCTGCCATCTCCCCTGCACGGGATACCCTGCGGTAAGGGAGAGCCTCGCTCGTCTTGCCAACGAACCCTGCGCCCATCCCTGTCCCAGCGACACTTAGCTGGCGGGGCTGTCCGTCGTTCACGGTCGGGACGGCCATTGGTCCGGATCTGTGGCCTTTCAATCGGCGTCCAGTCGGTAACCCTTCCCAAAAAGGGCGATCCTGCAGGCACACGGGGGGCAGATCTCTGGGACACGCGCACTTGTGACCTCCCCACAGGTTCGTCGGACACATCCAATACAGGCCGCTCTCGGATGGGGGATGACGCATCATATGGTAACACAAATTTCTTCAGGCGCGACGGGTGAACAAACCATGTCCGACGACCGAATTTTATTCGCACACTCTGATCCCGTAAAACCTCCACAATATCAACAGGCCCCTGCCAGGGGCGGTGAAACTTCGGGGACGTTCCCACCAGCACCATGGGGCAGTGCAACCAGGCTTTATCTCCAACACTCCACGGCTCTCGTGGCCGCTGCCTGCCGAACAATCTTTCGTTAGCGGCTTGTCGTCGGGCCGTATTTTGCAATGCAGCCTCTCAGGCTTCCCTTAGACGGTCCAAAGCCACCTGCATCGGAGCAGGCACCGTCGTAGATTTCTCCTGTTTTCGAATCCCCAATTTAACAATAGCCGGTGCTTCCAGTTCCCGTCGATACATCAGAAAAAATGGCGAGTACCCCGTTGAGGCATGCGGGGCCAATCTATACGCGGCCAGCGTCGCTGCAACATGCAGATCCCAATCATCTTGAGCGGTGTTTACTTGGTGACAAAGCATGGACGTCAGCGTCCTATGCAGCCGCTCGACCATCCCGTCAGTCTGTGGGTGGTATGGGGACGTCCAGATCTTTTTGGTCCCCGGCGAGTCACACACATCTTTAATCAATTTCGATGAAAAATTTCTGCCTTGGTCAGTAAGCAAATGTTCCGGGGGCCCCTTATCTAATACGTATCCTTTCAAGAAAGCCTCAGCGATCGACGTCGCTGACTGGTCTACTAGCGGCCATGCCATCGGCCAACGAGTTAAGTATTCCACCCCGACGAGCAAATATCTGTGCCCTCGGGGGGTGACAGGGAACGGACCCAAAATATCTAGTGGCACAATTTCGTTCTCTCGAAACTTGAATCGATTGCAAAGAGACACGATATGGCCGTGCCGGCGCTTTCCTCCGTGCACATTCCTGGCACGCTTTTACATGCTGTTTCACATCGTTAAACATTTCCGGCCAGTAAAATTCACTCCCCACCGTCAACGCGGTCTTCTTCTTCCCCAGATGCATCAATTTCTCATGTATCTCGTTAATCAGTTTCCCCCGCAACACCCTCGGGACAACAATACAAAATTTTTGTGCTTCCACATCCCAGCGAACAAGCAACCCCTCCGTTAACATCAAAAATGGGCGATCCTCCGATCCCCTTGAACGAGAGGCACGCAGCCTCATCCTGGTCAGCGAGGAATCTTCCACCTGCAGTTGATTCCACTGCTTCAATGACAACCCCAACAATCCAATTTCTGCTCCAGGGATTATCCCTGGCACCCCCGAACCCGCTGCAGCGACCGTTTGCGGAGCCTCCTGCAGCGGCGGGCCGCAACGCAGCGAGCCCTCTGTGCACCGACACGTCTCAGCCGGTCGCGGCAACCTCGACAAAGCATCCGCGTTTACATGGTGCGTTCCTTTCCTATGCTGGATCGTGAAAGAGTACTCCTGGAGGGTCTCAAGCCAGCGAGCCATTTGCCCCGATGGCTGATCCACGCGCAGTGAGTACTGTAGCGCCGCGTGATCAGTGCGGATCAAAAATTCCCTGCCGTATAGATACGGTCGGTACTGGCGCACAAAAATGGACAATCGCCAATAATTCCCTACGCGTCACACAGTATTTTTGCTCCGCCGGCGATAACACCCGGCTGCCATATGCCACCACTCTCTCGACGCCATCAACCATTTGTGACAAAACCGCGCCTATGCCCATATCACAGGCATCCGTGTCAAGTATAAATCGCTTCGTAAAATCCGGGTATCCCAACGGCGGTGTATCCGCCAGTGCGGCCCGCAACGCTTCAAACGATTTTTGTTCAGCAATCCCCCATTGAAACTTCACACCTTTCCCGGTCAGTGTATGCAATGGTCGAGCAATCGTGGCAAAATCCTTAACAAACCGCCGATAATACGACGCAAAGCCCACAAAGCTACGCACTTCCCCTGCTGTTTTCGGCACTGGCCATGTTCGCACACAACTCGTATTTTCCGGATCAGTGGCCACTCCTGACGCGCTAACGACGTGCCCCAAATACTTCACTGATGTTCTTAACAATTGGCACTTCTGTGGTTTAAATTTCAATCCGGCACGCCGCACTCTGCCAAAAACGGCGCGCAGCCGTTGCAAATGTTCATCGAAATTCCTACTGAAAACAATCACATCATCTAAATATATCAAGCATGACTCCCACTGCAGGCCCGACAACACGAGTTTCATTAATCGCTGGAAGGTCGCCGGCGCTGAGTGGAGCCCCATCAGGAGCACGTTAAATTGATACAATCCTTGTGGTGTCCGAAATGCCGTTTTAGGTCTTGACTCCTTATCCAGGGGCAATTGCCAAAAGCCCGACAACAAATCGAGGGTCGAAAAGATTCTGGCGCCGGACAGGGTGTCCAGTGAATCATCAATTCGTGGAAGCGGGTACGCTTCCGCCACCGAAACTTTATTCAATTTCCGATAGTCAACACAAAATCGCATGGTTCCATCACGTTTTTTAACGAGGACAATAGGGGCTCCCCACGGGCTGGACGATGGGGCAATAATATCTTGCTCTAGCATTTCATCAACAGATCGCCGAATACATTCTTTCTCAAGAGGACCTACACGATGCAAATTTAACCTGATCGGGGGTGCGTTCCCCGTGTCAATACGATGCTGCAACGTCGTTCGACCCACGTCGTATTTGCCTGAACTGAACACATCCTTAAATTCCACTAGCAACGCATGCAAACTCGACCATTGCACAGGCGATAACTCTGGGTTTTGTTTGTAAAGATCCCTTAACCATTCCAGATCGTCCTCCTCTCTTGACAACATTTCATCCTGTCCCGTAGCAAAACATGTTTTTGTTTCTGGACCCGGCGCACCCGTTGCGTGCGCCAACGTAGTGCCCCTTTGAATAACAACCTCTTCGTGCCCCGCGTTTACAATTTGAATGAAGGGATCACAATATGTTGGTATTATGGTCAAAGCTCCTACCACGGTGGGCATTCTCGACACAGCATTTGAGGGTGTCAACAGCACTCCTTCCTGTAGCTCATCCCAAGGCAATTCCTTCTTTAACTGTAGCGGTACCAATATTTGCGATGCAGGCAGGACGCGCACGGTGCGGCTCACCACGGCCGCACCACAGCGTTCGCCACCGCAAATTTCGAAGGCGTCCCCAAAAATTTCATACATCTCCCCGACGGTAATTCCAAACAACCTTTTTCCACTGAAATCTTAATTGGCATCTTTTGCAAGAAATCCGTGCCAAACAAACACGGTACCGCCAAGGCCGTTGAAACCAAAACACTTCCTGTCACAATAACCTCCCCAATTTGAATTGTCGCAACCACGCAGCCCATAATGCCCAAACTACCCCCGTTTGCAACGAAATAAGAGTTGCCGACGCCCCGGTATCTACAATAACTCGTACCATAACACCTTGAATACATGCCATCACATCCGACGATCACGGCGCGGCACCCAACACACGATGTACCAATGCGCCCCACGTATCCCAGCCATGCGTACTATCCGAATCCGATGAATACGGGTGAGATGACGCGGATGAGTGATGTGGATAGGGCGGCTGTGTATTGAATGCATCTCGACTCACCCGGGATCCTTGGTCTTGGGGGAACCGCCCGCTGTAGTAGTTCGGCGCCCACAGAGGACCACCTCTCCGTCTCCAGCAGTCGCGGGCGAGAAGACCCCTCCGCCCGCACTCGTAGCATGTCCGATGCACGCCGTCTCCATATACCCCGGGACGACGCCGTCGTTCTCCGGTCGACACCCCGGCCGCCGCTGCCATCGGCGGCGTCTCGTCCACCACCACCGCCACCGTGTTCGTAGCCCTGGCAGGGGTCGTCAGCGACGGCTGCGCCGCCGCCGCCGCTGGTTCGTCTCGTATGTCAAGGTTGACTTGTATGTTCCTGGCGATCAGCAACGATGACACGTCATCGTCATCATCCTTGTCCGGGAGCGACAAGACGACTTGCAGTTCCTTCGCCAGCTGTAACATCTTCTCTTGCAGCAGGGAGTCCCAGCCCTCCTCGTCCATCGCCGGGTACGCAACCTGGGCGAGGGCCAGCAAGGCGCTGCAGAATGCCAGGGGGGACTCCGTAGCCTCCCGTTTCCTCTGTTGAAATCGACGTTTGGCGACCGACCACGGCTCGTAGACCTTCCTCATTGCCGCAATAGCACCGTCCAATGTTTTTCTGACAGCGGCAGGGAGTCCGTTAAAAGTCGCCAAGGAGTCATCATCCAATGCCGTCAGCAGTGCTCGTAACGCGGCACTCTCCGTCCAATTCAGGGACAGTATGTACTGTATGTGGCCAATTCCTATGCGTATCGTTTACTTCACTACACAGGTAACGAGCTGAGATTAGGAGCACACTCGTAAAGGGAGTGCTCCTAATCTCAGCTTGTTTCCTGCATAAAAGACACCTGTCCACAGAAGCAATCAATCAAATCAGATTCCAAACTCTCCACCATGGCCAAGACCAAAGAGCTCTCCAAGGATGTCAGGGACAAGATTGTAGACCTACACAAGGCTGGAATGGGCTACAAGACTATTGTCAAGCAGCTTGGTGAGAAGGTGACATTTGGTGCGATTATTCGCAAATGGAAGAAACACAAAAGAACTGTCAATCTCCCTTGGCCTGGGGCTCCATGCAAGATCTCACCTTGTGGAGTTGCAATGACCATAAGAACGGTGAGGAATCAGCCCAAAACTACACAGGAGGATCCTGTCAATGATCTCAAGGCAGCTGGGACCATAGTCACCAAGAAAACAATTGGTAACACACTACACCGTAAAGGACTGAAATCCTGCAGCGCCCGCAAGATCCCCCTGCTCAAGAAAGCACATATACATGCCCGTCTGAAGTTTGCCAATGAACATCTGAATGATTCAGAGG